TTTTTTTTTAAATTTTTTTAAGGGACCATAAATCACAAAAATAATAATGAAAATTGAATCTCTTAATGAAAAAGCAAGAAGTCTTATTAAATATAACAATGACTACTTGTTCTAATATATTTGTTTGCAATATATACAACTTAAATAACTTTTATAGTATATTATTAATTTTAAATTATATATTTAATAATGCAATATTTATGTAAATATTACATATATTATTTTGTGATATTAATTGCAAGCATATTATATATGTACATATTATTTATATTTTTAATTTGTATTAATATACCGTTTAACATGTAATTTTTTTTATGTGTTTTTTTACAAAATAAAAATAAAAATAATTTTAAATAAGATAGAAAAATTGAAATTTAAAATAAGATATGAATTTATTAAAATTTATAAGTATAAAATATATTTAATATAAATATTTTTTAATAAAAATCGAGTCATGCAGTTCAACTAGTGACCCACCGGTTCAACCTTTGACCCACTGACCTAGTATCTTAACCGGTTCGATGACCGGTCTTATTTTTAAAACTATGATCCCACCCTTTGAGGTGCCTCCAACGTAGCGAGGAGATTAGTCACTGCTATCGGCGGTGGATACTTTAGAGACGAACCAAAAAAAAAAATATAATTTATTTATTTAGTTATAATAAATATATGATTTGATATATGAATGAAAATTATAATATGTGCAATTTAAATAAGTTAACAATTGTATTATTTTAAAGCATTATATATATACTAATTTTAAAATTATTAAATTTTTAATAAGAAAAGTTAAAATTTTAAATTTTTAATAAATTAAAATTACATAATTAAAACTTGAAGAATCAAAATTATATAAATATAATATTTGAGGGAATTAAAATCTTAAATACCAAAATTATACAATTAAAATATTTAAAAATAAAAAATAATTAAGCCAAATAAAAATTACAGTGACGAAATAAGTAGCCACTCGTGACCGTTCATTATCAATAACATTCCAATTTACATAATGATTCCAATAAGTGTATGACACAACTTAATTGTTCAAAATTGTTACTTAAAGAAGATTAACTTCACATTATAACTTTCAGGTTAAATCTATAACAGATATACCTGTCCGAATTAACTTAACTGTAACAAACAGTTAAGACATAGTTAAAATGTGAAGATTTATAAAACATAGCTTTATACATATTATTATCCAGAAACAATTATTAATTAATAATTAGAGAGCCAAAATAAAAATGACCAGGATCCATGAACCAAGATCAAATTCAAGCCCAATAACTTGATATTTAAAGTTGAAAAGGATGTATACACCATAAACGTACACATACACATATACGTATACGTATACGTATACGTAGGCACGGGTATATATACATACCGAAAAGCATATTCCCTTTCCACTTTTGGGCACCAATAACAAAAACCATTACAATGGCCATAGAAATTAGAAACCCCAATTATTTACACCACTACCCTCGTAACCCGAATTGCTGACCCATGTACCCGAACTCAAACGGGTCTAGTTGGCCCGATAGGAGTTGGGCCTTCGGGTTGGACTGAAAGCATTTGGGCCCGTCGGCCCGTTGGGTTCTCATGCCACTTTGGACCTCCTCCTCAGTCGGTGCTCCCGTCATGAAATCCACGTGGCTGAACAATGATGGCATGGAAGGGACAAATAAGTCATTACAATTATAGTTCATCATACCCGACCCGAATCCGGAAACCGAATCCTGCTCTGTTTGGTTAACCCAATCCGCGAAAAACTCTGTTCCCATGTTCTGAAACCCGAATTTCTCATCTTGTTGCATTGTTCTAAGTGAGTTCACACGTGGCAACGTGAAGCATTGATCATCAATTTCGGGAAATGATTCGAGGATGTCGTCCACGTGGGACGATGAAGAAGGTGACGACGACCCATTGCTGCATTCTTTAGCCCCTAAACTTGCCCCAACATTTTGTGCACTCGAGTTCTTCTTATAGATACGACACAAAACCCAATCATCAAGCTGCATCACATTAACAACAAACAAGTTTTAATTAAGAATGTAACAAATCATGACATGTGTAATTATGTGATAGCAAAAAATTTCACGATTGGGGTTGTAGAAGTGATTTTTTAGTAACTAATCTCAACTAACATGCATGCAATTGTAGACACTTCTAAAACCATGACTTAGAGTTGTGATTTAAATGTGTACCTTTGTGGTTCCGAGGTTGTTTTTTCTTGAAGAGTCAAGGAGGCGATACTCGTGCATGATCCAATTGGTTTTGGAGCCTTTGGGTGCTTTGCCAACGTAGAAAACAAGTGCTTTTTTTATGCCAACTTTTCTACCTTCATTGGTGATGACTTTGTCGGTTCCCGTGGCTTTCCAATACCCAGAACCCGCAACTCTGTTTGGTCTTGAACCATTAGGGTACTTCCTATCTCTTGGGCTGAAAAAGTACCACTCCTTCTCTCCAAACACAGCCTTACCTACACTCCCATAACCACACTTAAACTTCAATTAAAACAACACAAAACAAAACAAAATAACTCATTTTGGTACATAATATGCAAATGGGCTTAATCGTAATCGATTATTACCTGGAAGAACCCATGGATCAAACTTGTACAAATCAACTTCAGCAATGATTGGCAGAGAAAAATGGTGGCCAGCAACCTTGCGGCAAAGGTATTGAACAAGAAGCTCTTCATCGGTGGGAAAAAATCTAAACCCAGGTGGTAAACTCAATTGTACAAGAGGGTCTCTCTCTGGAACTCCCATTCTCCTCAATCAAATAGAGAAACAACAATATTTTTTTTTCGATATACACTAAAGGAGTCACGTTGCAAACACGGGGAAGAAACGAAGCCAAGTCTCAAAGCTTGAACTATAGATAGATAGACAACCCCAACATATTTAAAGCACTCGGCATTGGCATCATCTAAGAAATGGGGCCCAACATTAAATTAAAAAAAAAAAAAAAAGATAAAAAAAAAAGAGCATCTAAGAATGAAGGCAAGGTACAATATCTGATTAGCCAATGAAAAGGGGCGAAGTCGAGTTTGAGTGGATTAAGTTTGTTTAAAAAAAGTAGTCAAGGTTCAAAATTCAAGGTCAAAACACCTAGGACACACTTGAAGGAATGGGATGCTACCCTCTAGTTAAGACGTAGTTAAAAATGTGAATATTTATGTTATTTATAAAACATAGCTGTGAAAATAAAAGATGACCAGGATCCATGAACCATGAACCATGATCCAACCCTTTTAAAGTTGAAAAGGACGTATACCGCAGAAGCGGACACGTGGGTGTAAGTAACGCGTACGTGTACAAACATGCGTGCATGTTTTCACGAATTCCATGCTCTTAGCTTGCACGTTTGAAACACGTTTAATGGGAGAGGCACAAGGGAAATTAACCTCATAAAATGTAAAGGACCATAGAAATATCCCAACGATGAGTAACAGAGGAAAAGAAAAAGACAACATGTCCATTATTTGCGGCCATGAAACAACAAAAGGGTTTTTCTTTGGTCAAAGGAAAAAATCCAGAAAAATAATAATTAAAATATAGAGACAAAAGGGGTCACGTTGCAAACACGTGCAAGAAACGAAGGGTGGAATAATGAAAAGGGCACCTAAACCATCGCACGCAAGTGAGTGAAAGCTTCAACTAAGGATAGAGATAACCACAACAAATTAAAAGCACTTATTATCAGCATTGGAATCATTTAAGAATTGGGGCCCAACATTTAATCGGAAAAATAAAATGAAAAAGCATCTAAGAATTAAACCAGGTACAATATCTGATAATTAGCCAATGAAAAGGGTGAAGTTGAGTTTGAGTTCAAGTTTGATTTGAAAAGTGGTCAAGGTTCAAAATTCAATATTGAAGTCCAAACCTAGGACACACTTGTCACTTATGCTTGTGTGGTTCGGCTTTTGACTGTTGGCCCATTCCCTTTCACACATATTCAATCCCATCTTTTCACTTTTGGCTCATTAAGCATTAGATGAGACTGGGAGAGTGGATAAGATGCTACATCACCCACTTATGTTTGGGTAACACTCAAACTCAATTTTACTCTTTAAAAAATCATGGTATTATCATACAAAAATATATTTATTATTTTTTCTTTACTATAAAATGCAATTGATATTGCTCACTTCGAAGTCCATCCCCAAATAAATAATCTTGTTTGTATATTCTAAATTTTATATAGCTCATATTTGATAATAATAATAATAATAAAATAATTTTAAAAATCTTATAAAAATAAATTAAACCGCCAAGCTGATTTGCAAAATATTGGATTGAATTGTTTAGTTAAGATTATGAATTACACCAAACTATATATTGCTTATGTTTGGTTGAAATTATTTATTATTTTAAAACAGAACTAAACTATATATGCAATGAACATTTTTAATGTAAAGTCCAATTGTAATATTTTATTTAGATCATTTTGGTAAAAGTGTTCATCAGGTAAACAATTAATCGTAAAATGGCGTAGTTAATTTAAATGGAAAATCACATTCTTTGCTGGAATGTATCATTGAGACAAATCCCAAAAATACTACTGTATCTTCTTGTATGGCCTCACTCCTCAATGGGAAAGTTGATGAAACATATATGTATAGGCACTCCTATAATTAAGATAACGGAGACAGGTCACGTTTAACAATCGGATAAGTCTAACAACTTTTTACACTGTGAATACGGATCATTTGGAATATACTTTTGTACTTCAGTAATTAATTTTGACTATCAAGATTTTGAATTCGTTCACCATATTACATACATTCAATTTAGTCCATGAAAAAATAGTAAAAATCTTCGATAAATTTTTAAAAGATTTTCTTTTTTGTGTTATTTGTATTCTTAAATTTTAACTTTTAAATATAAGTTAATTATTCTATTATAATTACTAATTTTGTTAGTCTCATATGTTTGCATGTATTTTCTCTCTCAGCTAACATACAACAGTTACAAATTAGATAGATTTAGACACATGAAATAAGGTTTAATTTCTAATTTAATTTAGAAATAACTAAAGTCACGTCTAAATAATTTATTTTTCTCACCGAATCTCATTCTTGTATTTCATTTCACCTAAAAAACTAATTTATGTGAGACATGAATCTCATTTCTACAAGATAAGGGTTTCATTTGAGACATCGTTGAAGAAGAAAGTCACCTAATATTGTCAAAGTAACAAAGGTTAAGTGAAAAAGAAATTCCTAGGACATTACCACTAAACTATTTCCCACTTCTGTTGGGGAAGTTTTATAATTCATCAAACATAGTGTAAGAACTCATAATTTATTGACACATTCTTATTTGAGATCTTTTATAATGAACATTCATTTTTTGCTAAACTTCAAATTTAATAATTTATGATTTACAATCTTAAACATGTAGTCAAAACAGTAAAGAAAATTTAAGGATAATTGAGATAAAAAAAATTTAACTTCAAGAAATCTCACGAAATCCAATAATAACCTATTTTAACCAAAACACTCATACTCAAAATATTTAAACATAACAATATGTTCATTGTTGATTAGAAAATATCAAAATCTTATATTACGTGATTAGGAGAGAAAATAGCCAATTAGGAGAGAGAATAAGTGTCAACTTGACACTTAATTATTGACTATTCAAAAAATAAACAAAATTAATAACTAGTATAACAAAATAACTAATTTGCATAATAAAATTAAAATTTAGTAATCCAGATATCACAATTTTTTTTTTTAAAAAACTTATCGATTACCTTTACCATCTTTCATGATGAAATTAAGTGGTTATTCTTACATTAATATTATATTTTCATATATTTAATGTTGCATTGTTTTTCTTTTTTTCAAACATATAGATATGATGAGAGGTCTGAACCTAGACTAGGGGACCAATCTAAACTGCACCAACTCTTATATTTTGATAAATTTAAATGTAGGAATTAATTTACTGTTTAAATTTTGTACTACAGTTTCAACTACATCCAAATCCATTTGTATCACACATTAAACAGGATTTCATTTAACACGTCGATGTCACTTTTCACAATCAGCCAGGCAAGACAAGTTTAGACAAGTTTATAACAAAGGGTAGGTAACATATTTTCAGTACTTGGTAATAATTAATCAGGTTGTCGACACCAATGCTATGGAACAATAAAACATCTAAACCAAACTTTGGAAAACAGCTGCCAATGCTTTGAACTTTGAAGTACAGCGTGATTCATGTTAAGCTCAATAATGTACGTCTTGTAAACAATTAATTTCAGCATTCCCATGCGATTGTGGTTGTGGTGCATGCAATCAACATAGCGTACTTCATCAATTTCATATCGATTCAATGTATGTGCCAAGTGCCAACCTCCAAGTTCTCTAGCCGCAAAACATGACTAAAACTACATTTTCCCTTTCCACTTTGGGAGCCAATAACAAAAACCATTGCAATGGCCATAGAAATTAGAATCCCCAATTATTTACAAAAATAAAAATAAAAATAAAATTCCAGATCCTTTAGTCTCGTGACTCAAACCCATGACCCAAGTACCCGAACCCAAATGGGTCGGCTGAATCGGGTAACAATCGGGTATTCGTATTCGGCTGAAAGCACTCCGCTCCATTGACCCGTTGGGTTCTCATGCCACTCTGGAACTCCTCTACGGTTGGTGTCCCTACCAAGAAATCCACGTGGCCAAATGGGGGTGACATGGAAGGGACAAATAAGTCATTACAATTATAATTCATTATCCCTTGAGTTTGGTAACCCGATCCGAATTCAGAAGTCGAATCCATATCCGTTGGGTTAACCCAATCAGAGAAAATTTCGGTTCCCATGTTTTGAAATCCGAATTTCTCATCTTGTGGTAACATGTAGCATTGATCATCGATTTCGGGCAATGATTCAAGCATGTCGTCTATATGGGACGATGAATAAGGTGACGACCCATTGTTGCATTCTTTGTCCCGTAAATTGGCCCCAACCTTTTGGCCACTCGAATTCTTCTTATAGATACGACACAAAACCCAATCATCAAGCTGCATCAAATTAACAACGTACAAATTTAAACTAATAGTGAAACAAATCATAATTGATGTGATATCACAAAATTTCTAAAACTCTTACTATTGCTTTCACAATTGTGGCTTGTTAGACACTTATAAAATTATGATATTTTGGTGAGGTTGAAAGACGAGGGAAGGGAATTTTTTTTTAACCATGCATGGTATTGGTAAGTATGTATGTGTGTACCTTTGTGGTTCCGAGATTGTTTTTTCTTGAAGAGTCGAGAAGGCGATATTCATGCATGATCCAATTGGTTTTGGAGCCTTTGGGAGCTTTGCCAATGTAGAAAACAAGTGCTTTTTTTATGCCAATTTTTCTACCTTCAGTGGTGATGACTTTGTCTGTGCCTGTGGCTTTCCAATACCCAGAACCTGCAACCCTGTTTGGTCTTGAACCGTTAGGGTACTTCCTGTCTCTAGGGCTGAAAAAGTACCACTCCTTCTCTCCAAACACAGCCTTACCTACGTCACCATAACCACATTCAATTAAAAAAACACTCATTTTGGTGCATAAAATGCTAATGGACTTATTTTAATTAGGAGTGTGCATAATTCAATCTTTTTAAAAAAATCACACTAAACTATTTTACTAAATTGAACCGATTTAAGTACCATTTGATCCACATCAATAAACCAATTCAAAATCAAATCTCTTTTATAAAGAGATTTGCAAGAGGTTTCAAAACCAAATCAAGGCTAAACTAGTTTTAAACCAATTTTTTTTAAAAGAATATGTTTTTTTTTCAAATTTACAAACAAAATCATGATTAATGTAATCTTTAGGGACAAATTAATAATATTTTACTAATTATTAATTAAGAGACTAATTAAGTAAACAAACATATCATAAAAGATAAAAAAAAAATTATTTACTTTATTAACATAGAACTCAACTCAAAAGTATTAAAAAGTTATAATTGTCATATAAAAAACTTAATTATGAAACATTATTTGATAACTGACATTTATTTTAATAGTATATATAATAATCAAAAAGTAAAAAATAAAAAATAAAAAACACAATGATCATTAACAATACACAAACATTTTATATTATACCTTAAATCACTAAATTATAAGATACGAAAAGCATAAATAAATTATTTTTATTTAATTTTATTTTATCATTTTAAAAATGGTGCAATGTACCAAACCTAATTATCAATCAAATTTTAAAATACATTTATATAAATAAGATGGTTTGATTTTTTTCAAATTAATTATGATTTTTTTTTTTTTTAAAGTAGTGTGCTTCTATTTCAAATCTATTTTTATATTTGTTTCAAGCCCCAATTATAATTGATTAATTACCTGGAAGAACCCATGGATCAAACTTATACAAATCAACTTCAGCAATGATTGGCAAAGAAAAATGGTGACCAGCAACCTTGCGACAAAGGTACTGAACAAGAAGCTCTTCATCTGTAGGGTAAAACCTAAACCCAGGTGGTAAACTCAATTGTGCAAGAGGGTCTCTCTCTGGAACTCTCATTTTCCTCAATCCAACGAACCTCGATTATGATCAAGAGATTCAACAAGTGAATCTAATAACCTTTTTTTTTTTTTTTTTTTTCTAGCTAGCTTGTGCTTCGTTTTCTCTTTTTTATTTCGAAAATATGAAGAGGTGACAGTTATTATATAGGGACAAGCGAGTCACGGCATTTGCGATGAAATCTTTGTCGAGTTCGGTTTGAACCTATCTGAATGTGCCACGTTGCAATTAAAAAATGATCATTATGCGGACAACCTTAATCTACTTCCCGTACGGACGCGGATTGAACTCTGTTCACAAAAGAAACCTCGGAATATTCCGTGATCATGATAAACAAACTCAAAATAATCAAGCACCTTTGTATCGCAAAATATCTACAATTTAATTAATTATTGAAATATCGCTTACTATAATAGTCTTGGCAAATTAAATTTCGAAGCCTAAACACAAGTGTAACCTGTGTTTATCATTCTTTGGAATGGCCACTGATTTTTTATGCTTTTAATGTCAGATTTCTTTTATGGATATTTGTTTATGAGTTTAATTAAAATGGTTTGACAATTTAAATATTTTTTTTGTTTACATTTAATCACATGTTTCTATTTATTATAAACTTATTGATTTTTATAAAATTTTGTCCTAAAAAGCATTTTAATTAATTTGCCGACTTTATTAGTTCCCCAATTTTGTTAAATGATTTTTTTTGATTTGTAGACTTCTTATATTGTTATATACGATCAAAATTTATTGTTATTTGTATCAAAATATCCTGAAAAGCATTTTAAGTGGTTTTTTTGATTAGTCAACTTTGTTGCTAAATTTTCTTGAATGTGTAGTTGGCATTGAGATAAGGCAAACACGCGTTAGTTCATTGTAATAATTTATCAAAAAAAAAAGGTGGGCAAAACAAAGGTTCTCTCCTTCTTTCTTCTTAAAGCGTGTGTGTGTTCTAAAATCCTAGTCATTATCATTTTTCACGTTTAATTTTTTCAAGGGGGTGGTGAACACGTGTCCAAGTGGAAAAACGAGAATCAAGAAAATTGTTTTTACGTTGGTGGGAAAATTGGAAATAGTGGTCCAAGAAAAACCCTTTGCAGACACCCTCATGAGTTCGTGAGTACATTAAATTTTGTAAGTTCAAAATATATAAAATTATGAAAGATAAAATATAAAAGTTTAAGCTATTTATTTGTATTAAGTAAAAAATTAAGAGTCTAGACTCAAATACATAAAATTAGGAGGATAAAATACAAATAATTTGGATATTTATATGTAATGTTTCAAATTAAGGAGTGTATTTGTCTATCCTCGTTATAATATAGATTTACTATTACTTTTTTAATTATATATTTGATAATCAAAATTTCACTTAATTTATATGAATTTTTAATCGTATTATTAACTTCTTTAATATGAATTTATTATGTAGTCAAATAATCAATAGGGGTGTTCATGGATCAATTTTTTCAAAAAAAAACCGATCCAAACCGAACCGAATCGTTTTATAAAAATGGATCGGTTAACCGATCCATTTTTTATAAAGTGGATCAGTTTGATTTTTTTAAAATATAGATAAATTTTTTTGAAATTGGATCGGTTCGGTGCAGTGTAGCTATCCACTTTTTACTCATATATGAATCGGTTTTTTTAAAAAACCAAACCGAACCGAACCGATCCACTTTGTAAAAATGGATCGGATAACTGAACTGATTTTATAAAGTGATTCGATTCGAATTTTTTTCAAAATGAATCGAAAATTTAGATTTTTTTGCACACCCTAATAATCAATGAACATGAATTATAATAATATGTGTAGATGAATTGTAATAATGGCTAGATACTATTATCCATTTTTATGTTGTGCAGATGATCTACTAACAAAATAACATTCGATCTTTACTGTGTAAAAATCCATCGAATTAGTAATAATTATAATATTGCGCATATGATTAATTTTTAATTTAATAGACCGAAAAATATCCATGTCAAGAAAAGAAAACCAATAAATTGGTGTAGTTGTTAAGACCTTACACTCAATTTGTCAAGAGACTCAAAACAATATATTTGGTAAAAAATTCTTTGTTCAATTTCAACATATCATATGCGAAAACACATCATGCTAACATTAATTACGTTATTGCGAGTAAAATTAGTGTACGGATCTTATAGTTATAGATGCTTTTCAAATATGATATAAAGAGTGTGTGCTTTTACGAAGTAAAAAACAATTTATTAATTTAAACACCAATTAAGAAAAAGTAACTTAACCTTAAGATGTGATCACATCAAGAAGGACGTACGAAAAGTAAAAGGCAAAGCAATAAGTTAGCTTATGCGTTTGCATGCTCCATTTGGCAACGCGTGGCACTTGGAGTGCAAGTCCTTATCCACTTGTGATCTTTCCCTTTGTGGCTTGTGCTCTTTTTTCAGAACTAGGTGTTTCTTTCACTCATCAACCTCTAAGGGCAAGCTTACATGTATTAATTGTGGGTGGGGCATTGATCTTTCACTAGTGTTCACAAAAAGTAGAGAAAGTGACTTGGTGGGTCGTGGTCAACATTGTGGAGTGGTGGGATTCACTGAACTATTATCCTTCGATTGATGATGTTGTGAACGTGGACAACTTTGGGTTTGGGATTGGAAAGAAACAATGGAAGGACGTACATAGGCGTGCCCTAAGGTTGGTTGCGTTTTGGTCAAACTATAAATGTGAAAGAAAGGATAACTCCCAACAACAAAACAAAAGCTCCCTTAGAGTGGGAGATTGGGATGAGGATGGATGGATTTGGGATTAGGTATAAGATCCAATTTAAGTCACGTTCATTATTAGTTTTGGCATTGATTTTTTGAATTAGATAATGATTTGTGAGTTTTCTCTAGTATTAAATAACTTTGTTAAAATTATTTTGTAAAATACTTAAGAGTAGATAACATTTTCCTTTTCAATGAGATACATTTTTAATTTTTGATTTAAATATATTTTTAGTTCTTCAATTATAAAGTAAATTTATTTTTAATCTATCAAATTTAAAAATTGATCTTTTTAATTCTTGTTATTTCAAAAAATCTTATTTTAATTCTTGTACTCAAATTTAACTTGTTAGGAATTCTATTAAATATTATCGCATAAAATTTACATATTGGTATCCCTATTAATGAAAACATATTAAAGTCAACTAATACTACATAATTGTACCAATTTATTACTTTTGGATGTTATTGGTGACCTAAGAAACTAAGACAAGATTTTTGAAAATTACAAGGATTAAAAATAATAATTTAAAATTTAATGGACCAAAAATAAATTTATCTCACATTTAAAATATTAAAAATATATTTAAATTCTAATTTTTTATTTTTATTTTTTTTACGTTGAAATGAAGGGTGACATATAAAATAAGTTTGATTTATTGGGCTATCTGTTTTTTTTTTCTCATCGATATCTAATTGATACATATGATAGAGAATCAAACTTTTATTAACATGTTTAAATAATTAAGTTATCTACCAATTATGTTAGACCTTGTTAGCTTGGATTATTTAGTTTAATTCACTAACTTTGCAAGTTGAGCTTGGAATTCACTTGTTGGACTTGCATAGCTTACTGTGTTTTGGCTCGTTAAAAAATAGATGGTGGGCTAGTGTTGCCTAACCCTTTGACCTTTTCTAATTAATATTTTTATTGATTTATATATGCTTATATTTTTAATTTTAGTTTAGTTAATTATTTAGAGTTTGAATTGTAAATATGTAGATAATAGTTACATTAAATATTCAAAGGAGGAATTTTTATCTCTCATAGTAATCTTCCCTAATTTAAGTAGGATATTCTCTAATAAATGATGGCGTACATAATTCAAATAAAAAAAACACATTTTTTGTGTGTGTATAAATAAAAACATACATGATTATGTAAATAAAATACTAATAATAAGATGTAACTCATTTGTCAATTTAAATTTTATACATATTCACTTATTTGATCACATGTAATTAAGATTACATTCAAATAAGAATTACTATATTTAGATGCATGTGTAATATATTCAAATAAGAATTACTATATTAATATGAATCAAATAAGATTTTGAATAAATATATTATGAATTATTTCATGAAATCTTTTCGTAACCAACTATACATTGAAAAACTATTTATCGTGATGTATTTTAACTTCTTTTTTTTCTTCTCTTTTTACTTTCAATATATTACATATTATTTCTAATATATTACAAACTTTTTATTTTTTATTATATTTTTGGTGGGCTATATTTTTTGGCCCATATCTCTTGAGCGAGCAAACCCACCTTGCAATGCTTATGATGAGATATGAGTAGAGTGGGCTTAAATGAGGCAAAGTGACTTGCTCCATGAAGGGAATTATATATTTTGTAAAATCTTTAAGAGTCAATAACATTTCCCTCTTTAGAGAGAGGTTGGTATTATACATTTTTAATTTTCTTTTTATGTTAGAAATTAAGGGTGACAAAGTGCATTAGATCTATTGGGCTATTCAACTTTTTTTTTTACAACATATATTCTCTAATTAGTAATTGGAGAATAATTCTTTTTAACATGGATAGATTATTGAAATGAGTTTTGTCTCTCTCAATAAAATCTTTTCCATATGCATAATTAGATAATTGAACTCATATTAGCATGCTTAAAGAAGATAATTATTTACCTACAATGTTTGACCTTTCTAGTTTGAGTTATTCAATTTTGTCTTTCCCAACAATTTTTTTTATATTGACACATGACAATAACAAAGTGGTGGTGACAACGATAAAGATAATGATAATAAAAGAGATTGATGATAATTGTGAAATAGTAATAATAATGATCTTATAAAATATAAATTTTTTAGTAAATAAATAATCAAAAGACATCATACTAAATTAGATTAAATTTAAAATTTGACACCTTTATGTCATTTTGACTATGTGTAAATTAAGATTTTTAATTCCGTTCATAGCTTGAAAAGTGCACAAGGCTGCAAATTAACACATTGAATATCCCATTTTATGGCCATATTTGTTTAGTAGGTTTGTGAACAACTTAGGATTTTCTTATCTCTCATGGGACTCCTTAATCATCTAGAGTACCATAGAGCTACA